TCGTGGCGCGTAGTTTAAAAATAATGTAACATTCCATCAAGAATTATGTACGTTTTTAGGAACGTCACGAAAAACAAATCATCACATTAGTTTGCAGCATAAAGCAGAGAATTCTACACAGACATCTATTGTTTTCCTGGAATATTTTTCCAAGAGCTCGTCTCAGTGCATTAAGCTTTATTGATAATTGTATATTTAGCAGTGCTTTTACACTGTGCATCTGGAAACGTCCAGGCCTGTATTCGTAAACACACGAGAACTTTCCTGACTCTGTCCGAGGTAGCCCTCAGCCAGTCTGCGGTGTTCGACTGTAGCTGTCGAGGATGTGAAGTGTGCCCCGCCTGCTACAAAAGAAAACAGCTGCTCCTGTATATCGTGCTTGGACAATTAGTAATCAGAATCATAGACTGCCTTTCATTCCCGCATGCCAAATTGATTTTAAGCTACATAAGTTACTATTAATCAACTTAAGTTAAATCCATTAACGCTGTACAATTATGACACTTCATTAATTGCAGCCGCAAAGTGCGTTATGACCCACAGTGAAACTGCAAAATTTCTAAAGGACCTAAGGGCACATTCTTTAAGTTTAACGCTCGTTATGTTAATTAACCCAAGGGACTGTTTAATTCTAGTGAACAAGAAAGGAAGTGGACAGCGTTTATGAATACTGGGCCCTTTATTACACCCTGCCATGATTTTGACGTGGCTTAGAGGTCTTGCCCCTACATGTGTGAAGAAACGAAAGTGTTAATTTAATGACCAAGTCAAAATGTGTTTTAATTAATATGTGACGTACACATATATTATCGAATGCTTATCTTTCTATTTTACTTCCTTGACGAATTAATAAATTCTAACAAACGCTACAACATTTACGCTCCGATGTTGAACAAAAAAATCTTACTCCTTATATTAAAATAGCTATAGACTTGTAGTATACCTGTGTACTTGTAAGAGGGTGGTGAACTTTATAGTCAGCTGAAGCAACTTTTTTATCTAAAAGCAAACCTAAAATTAGGTAGACAAGTAGTGGCAAGTAGTGAAATTTGTAAACTGGGAATGTTTGTCGGCGTCTGTCAGTAACAAGTTTTGATAATGTGATGCATAATAATTGACTGTCCTGAATTATATAACTATTAGGCTAAAGCAGAATTTAATAATAATGTCGCAGAATATTACTTGCAAAAATTAATCTTTCTTTAAATGTGGGCTGACAGCGGATAGCATGCCACGTGAAGTGTAATGCCACGATACGGTCATAAAACCGCACACATGACCAAAAGTCATGACCTCTATGCAAATCCTTGTCATTCAGCATTCAAATCTGATAGATATTATAATTCCCATCAGCCATCGCAGCAACATGAATTATTTCTCGGTCACGATTTCTTGTAATGATGGACTGTTCGGCTGGAAACATATTTCTGTAGCAAATATCCACTAATATTAGGGGCACTGCAGTACCTGCTAACCCCTGTGACTGGCATCCTGATGTACTGACATCTTCGAAAATATGATCTTAAAAATTAATGACTTGCTATTAAAACACGTATGTACGTTATTTACCGTGTTTATAAAATCAGTCCAAACCCTAACCTCAGGTTCTGTTTCTTTAACATCCATTTCAATCTTTTTATCCAGTTTACGTCATTGACTTACGTTTTTCTTATCCCTTGAGGATTCCCACCTGATTGACAGATTCAACTGATTCAGAAACTCTTGGGCAAATAAAAACGTACGCACTGTTCTATAAGTATGCATTTTCATTCTAAACTGCGGACGGATGGACATAGAAACAACAGATCAGACACGACGAAGATTTCATGCATGCGTTGCTGG